CCCCCCAAATCCCCCACCATCCTTTCTGGCAGGAATTGGGCTTGCAAAAAAAATAAGGGGAGATGGTGACAAGAAGGAGAAAGAAGACAATGAGTCACAGCCTTTGTTGAGACGCTCACATTGAAATCACAAGAGATGCGTTTTTCCAAATGACTAGTGCTGCGAGCTAGGAGGGGGGTGGCAGGGAGCAAGGGACAGGCCTTGTGCGTCTTGATGAGACCCAGCCCTGCAGGAATTGGGCTTGCAAAAAAAATAAGGGGAGATGGTGACAAGAAGGAGAAAGAAGACAATGAGTCACAGCCTTTGTTGAGACGCTCACATTGAAATCACAAGAGATGCGTTTTTCCAAATGACTAGTGCTGCGAGCTAGGAGGGGGGTGGCAGGGAGCAAGGGACAGGCCTTGTGCGTCTTGATGAGACCCAGCCCTACGGGTTCTGCTCCTGTTATCAATAAGCTGCTAGTTTCACGTCTCTTCTTCTTCTTCTTCCAAGGAGAGAGACAGAGATCGTGAAGCACCGCGGAAATGGCTGTTGCTGAAGCCATGTCCCCACTTGTTAACCTCACCTCCGGCAACCAGAGCAGCTGCAATGTGCACAACCACCACTTCTCTGCCAAAATCACCTTCTCCCTCCTCTACACCACCCTGCTGGTCTTCGGCTCCTGCGGAAACATCCTGGCCCTCTGCATCACCTTCCAGCGCAGGAAGAAGAAACTAAACTCCACCGACCTCTACTTGGTGAATCTGGCCCTGTCTGATGCCCTCTTCACCCTGGCACTGCCGGGCAGGATTGCCTACTACATCCTGGAGTTTGATTGGCCCTTTGGGGATTGGTTCTGCCGGGTTACAGCCTTCATTTTCTACATGAACACCTATGTGGGCATCTACTTCATGACCTGTGTCAGTGTGGACCGCTACATCGCTGTGGTGCGCACCAGGCACCCTGGCAGGATCCGGAGGATGAGCCGTGCCAGGGGTGTCTGCATCTTCATCTGGTTCGTGGTGTTCCTGCAGACAGCGCCGCTGCTTCTGCGGCCCATGACACGGAGGATGGGGGACAAGCTGACGTGCATGGAGTACTTCAACTTCGAGGAGGTGCCCAAGCTGCCCTACCTGCTCTTGGGGGCCTGTGTGCTTGGCTTCTTCTTGCCTGTGGGCATCATCTTGGTGTGCTATGTGCAGATCAACCTCAAGCTCTGCCGGACGGCCAGGGAGAACCGACTGCCAGTGAAGAACGGGCACCATCGCCGGGCCTTCACTGTCATCCTGGTGGTGCTGTTGGCTGTCCTGCTGTGCTTCAGCCCTTACCACCTCAACATCATCCAGTTCATGGTCAGGAAGATCCTGTATCAGCCGTCCTGCCACGAGCAGCAAGCCTTCAAGATGTCCCTGCAAGTCACCGTGGCATTCATGAACCTCAACTGCTGCATCGACCCTGTCATCTACTTCTTTGCCTTCCGGGGCTACAAGCGGAGACTGCTCCGCATATTCAGGAACAGCGGCTCCACGGCCACCTCCTCCACTGCCAAGACCCCATCAGAGAGCAACAGCAACAGCCAGCCACCCGGCTCCGTGTCCGTCTAGTGGCACAACCCCCTCCCTTTCGCTCTGGCCACCCCGCCCCACGCCCCCCCCCCCCCCCCAGCCACAGAGCAGGACCTGCACCTCTGACAGGCTTCATTGCTCTCCTACCCAGAGCCAGGGGCTCTTGCCAAGCGAACTTTCCTTTCTGCCAGGGCAGATTTCTGCACCCCAGGGGCACAGGGCCACCGGCTCTGCCCAGCTCTGCATGTCTGGCTCCACACTCGGCACTGCTGGACCCGCTGCCCCTGTGCACGGCGGGGCAGGATGGGGCATATTCTCATCCCAGCCCTCGAGGAGGCAGCTTAGCCGACGGCGCCGGGTGGCAAACGCAGCGTGGGGTTTCCCGGCACCGCACCCTCCCACGCGTGTCCCACATCCCCTGAGGGGGCCGTGGCTGCCGGTAACCACAGGGCTGGCGTGGCTGTCCCTGCGTCCTTCTCCCGTGCTGCTCTCCGTAATGCTGGGGCTGCATCCCTGTGGGGCTTGGTGCTGCCAGCACAGGGGGCACAAGCTCAGGGTAGTCCAGGAAAAGACGTTACTTTCATGCAGGAAAGATGGCTTCTTTCCAGAAGCTTTCCAGAGCTCCTGCCCAGCGCTTACAAACACCGACACCCTCACCCAGGGACAGTGTCCAGCTGTAGCACCCAGGCGTTGTATGGGGTGTGTGCGAAGCGTGGGGTGTGTGGGAGTTGCCAATATAGCACTTTGCAGAGGAAGATAAGCAAGGTAGCGAATTTGCGCAGCTCCTGGGAGTGCCGCTGCCTGCGTTTGCTGTTTTGGCTGCTGCTCCTTCCCGAGGGCGCCCTTCCTCCTAGCTCACAGCGCTGCGGTCTCGTGGGACCTGCTGCTGGGGAGGGCGTAACGGGGCTCGCCTAGCTCATGGCTTCGGTGTAAGCCTGCAAAACCGCTTTGTGCTCAGCCTGGGGTTTCTGTTACGGGAGGAGATGCCTAGAAGGCTTGGGTTCCCTGGCCAGCACTTTCCAGGGTAGCCTTCAAACAGGTCATGCTCGTAACTTGAAATGAGGACAGGTGACTGGGGACTAAACGTGGCCTTATGTGGCCTTGACTGACCTTTGCTTGAACTCGAGGAGCTGCACTGTTGAATCAGTGCTTAAATCTGTTCAAACGCCTCACTCGGGGCAGGTTACATGCAACCAGAGAGCGAGAGGAAGGAGCTGCGAGGTCCATTTCTTGTCCACGTTGGAAGCCATGTGGCGAGGAGAAATTCATCATATCTAAGGACCTCTCCAGCTCTTCCAAAATCGCCAAACTACACGGCTTTCACTGATGAGACACACACATGTAGGATTTTGCAGTTCCTGGGATACCTGTTTTATATTTGATGTTGTAATGCGGAACAGAGGGACACACACAGAAATTAAGAGGAGAAAAAGCAGCTTTATTTTGCTTAAAAGTAAACTTAATTACGTTTCATGAACTGGCACTTTTAATTAATATAAATCATTCTAGAAGGTAATAACCTTTTCTTTATTGCTAGAAGGTTAATACCATAGCCACATGCAGCCCTTTAAATGCACATGAATTTCCTTCATGACGATGGTTTTACTTGCTGTTTAGGTAACTAACATCCTGAAGGCTGACTGAGAGGGATGCACAGAATAACTTAGGTTGGGAAGGGACCTCAGGACATCCCTTTCAGGAGGTTATCTGACCCCTACTCAAAGTTAGGCTAACCTCAGTGGACTGAACTGAAGAGAGCCTGTGTTCTCAAAACCATCTTACAACGGACAAGGAAGAGCCGGTATGCAGTACTTAAAAGAGTACCAATGGTTCACACACTGTGAAGGAGCCTGGCTAGATTGGTGGTTACTGTGTAGTTGTGGTGCACGGTTAGAAATTATCCAAGAAATGTCGGCTGGAAAGGACCTCTATGCATCATCCAGTCCAACATCCTCCTCCAAGCAAGACCATCACTGACACTAGACCGGGTCAGCCACGGCTTTGTCTAGCTCAATCCTGAAAATTCACAAGGAAGGAGCCTCTGCCACCTCTCCGTGTGACCTGCTCCAGGGCTGCAGGTGAAAATATTTTTCCTAACATCCAATCTGAACCTCCCAATCCACAGCTGTTGGCTGTTGCCCTGTTATGACATCCGCTACTACCCAGACATGTTTGTCTCTGTCATCTTTGTAACTCAAAATTCCTGTATGATTGTAATAGTCTAACATTGTAGGGGCTGCCGGAAGAACAAAAGGAAGTATTACATGGCTATAGCTCTTAAATAAGCCTCCACGTTAACGCTGGAGCAGAGTCCTACAGCTATGCGTGTAGGACCAATCTACCTTCCCAAGATCAAGGCATGGAGATGTTTTACTAGGCTGGGACCTACAGCAGAGGCAAAGGCAAATCTGTGAAGAAGCGCATCTCAGAAAAAGACAGAGCGTGTAAACACAGCCTAGTTTGTTGGCTGTTGGACTATTTTTCTCCTAAGTATTCCTTTCTTAACAACTATAGCCCTGCCTTTAATTCTGTTGCCACCAGTGAGAGCCCTTGGAGAAGGAAAATGGAGCAGAAGCAGACAGTTGTGCGTTGTGACTTAAAATGAGACAAGCACCGCAATGGAGGAATCCAGCCTTGCTCCCCTGGACTGAAGCCAGTCCGGGACCCTTTGCTTTTAAAAATATCTAGCTAGCAGACAATCAGCATATGCAGAAAACACATACAAGGAATAGAAGGCGAAGCGAAGTGATTCGTGCAGAACAGGTCAGAAGTACCCAGGACAAGAAGGAATGTTTTATCGCCTGGACCACCTTGCCCACTTGAGGATGTTCCTCATGGGTTGGTGCAGGAACTTGAAAATGCAGCATTGCATTAAAATCATAAATTGAGTAAAGAACGCCGTACAGAGCAGTTGTATACTTTCTCTGCATTTCATTCATCTAAACTACTCGCAAAGCATTTGCTTTAATCGGTTAGCACCTTAGCAAAGCAGCTAACCTGTGGAAAGCTGCATATTTCCTGCTATTCACTTTGCCTTGTGCTTGAACTTTCTGAGAACGTTTTTCATCCCTTTTCTTATCGGCTGCTATCAGTAACTGAATCGCTGCTGCTTTTGCTCCATTTCTGACATTTTTTTTTTTTCAGTGCAAAGGCATCTCAAATTACCATCAAGATTCTGCGATTAGATGTAGGATATCTGTACAGGAACACACGCAGACATTCATGCAGAAAGGTGATAACATCAGGGGAGCAGTGATCAGAGCTTGCAGCCAAAGCGCGACTGTGCACGCAGGGAGCGGAGAAAGCGAGCTGCTTTGATGCGAGGTGCACACGCGCAACCCCTCCCCAGCCGCCCGACAAATCGGCCTCGTTAACTTCAGGTGTAACCCCACCACGGCAATTCCTACGTTTCTGGACTTTCTCCTGTCCCAGCGCGGACGGTAACGTTCTCCAGGCCCGGCTGCATCCCCCGGGCGGGCGCCGACGCGCGGCGGCA